CGCGCTTGCGTCTGGCGATCTCTTTGTTGGGGACTGCCTTAGCCGTTCGAAGAGCGACGCGGCGTTCCTCTCGAAATTCGGCCGTACGAGCCCGTTGCATCCTCCTTCTCGCGTGGAGGCAAGACGCCCTGAGGATAGCAATCGACTCGCTCCACCAGTACGCCGGTCTATGGCCATGTCTGGGATAGGCTCTCCTAGGCATGTTCTTCCCCCGTCAGATCAAGGGTTATTCGCTCCCGCTTCAGTGCTTCGCTGAAGACTTCTTCATCGAAGAACGACGTCCGCCAGCCTCGAGCGCAGAAGGGACTCCCTCCTGCTACTCGCCTCTCACCTTGCCCCACATCATGTAACCCTCATCGACCCTCCAGTGTAGGTTGCCCTCCAAACACGGGCTGCAGTAAGTTACATCAATGACGGATTCTGCACCGTTCCTTCTGTAGGTATTGACCGAACCGGTGTTGGATAGTACAACGTCCAGTTTGGTCATTGCCTCCAGTAGGATGCATCCTCTCTGGTTGGTGTGGTGGCTGCCCCACTCCACCGCCCATGCGTTAAAGTCGCCCGCAATGACCACCGGTCTTAGGCCGACAAGTACCGCAGTGAGTCTGTCCACCATCTGCGAGAACTGCTCGATGACCCTGGCGATCACGAATCCCTCGCTCGAATTGGACGAGACCACCTCCTGAACGGGGAAGCTCTCCATCGTGTATATCGCCGCCATCCCCAACGCGTCCGTGACCCAATTCCCGTTGCCCGATGGGACCCGGTACGGGTCGGAGATGATTGCGACATCCACCCCCCATTCCACTGTCGATTGCCACAGCAGTTGCTGGGCAGCCGCGTAATGGTTCAGGTTCAACTGCGCTACCTCGAACATGGCTGAGCATTGCTCTTGGCCCCCGGGCAGCGCGGGCCACCTGCCATGTGGTTGGTAGGGGATTTCCGTTTCTCCGCGCATATTGTGCACTTCGGCGGCTTTTGGCAACTTTGCGCCTTATGGCCCTCCGAACCACACCGTTTGCACAGCTTGCTTCTATCGGTGTTCTTGCAGTCACGAGCCAGATGGCCCTGACCGAAGCACCTGAAGCAGGCCGTAACCACCAGCCCACTCGTACCCTCCCTGTGGCTGCCGCCTTTTTGGCATCCACCTGGGTGGAGAACAGTCCCTTCCTCAGGGTAACCGCTATTGGCGGAACCTCGATTTGGCACTGCTCCCTGAGTGCCTTGACTAGTTTGGTCGCCTCTGTCACTTCGTCCAAGTCCTTAACCTGGATGGTGATTGTCGAGCCTAGCGATTTCACCTGCGCTCCATTACCAACGACCTCCTTTGCCAGTTTCTGGTAAGTCGGTCCCTGGTCTTTAGCGCCACGCTTAAGCACCAGGAGCATCTCGCCAGTACGAGTGACAGCTCGTCCGCTCTCATCTTCATCAAAACTTCCGCGTGCTTCGACGCTTCCGTCTTGATGATGAGAGCCTCGCCCATCGTCTTGTGCTTGTTCCGGGCAGTGCTGCTCTTAGGGGCAGTTTTTTCCGGGGGTTTCGGGGGTTTCGGGGGAGCACCCTTGTTACCACCCTTTTTGCAACCACCACTTTTCTCAATCGCTCTGTTTCCTATTTTGGGCCACTTCTGCGGCTCGTCCACTGCCGCATTGGACTGTTCGACCACTGCCACACACTCTACCTGGGCAGAGACTTTCCGTCTCTTAGGGCGTTCCACACCCTTTACTGGCGAAGGCCGGTCGCGCTTCTGCCCTTGCGTCACGGCAAAGTGGAGGGCCTCGCTGGCCATCGTACTGTTGCCTGCGAAGTTGAAGGCGTCCGTCTGGGTAGACTTCGGCTCCCTCTTCTCCGCCCTCTCGGCGGCTTCCAGTCGCTTCTTTAGCCGCTCGTGGTCATCTTGAGCCTTGTTTCACAGTTGCGCGGTGCTTTCCCAAGGCCTGCTTGAGGTCCTTCGCGATATTGTTCCACGTGCTCGTGAACTCGATGATAGCATCGAGCTGTCCCGTGATAACCAGCATCCTAGGGAGGGCCCCAAAGCTTCTCATGACTTTTATTAGCCTGGGCCCATCCATAGGTTGTTCCTCTGGCTGTCCACCGACCCCGTCGCTTAGCTCTGCGAGCATGAGAGGGTAACCGAGCCGCAGTCAGTCGGTGAGGCAATGGAGGCCGACGATCATGAGGCTATGGAAGCTGAAATGCATTCGTTGACCATCAACAAGACAGGGATGCTAACCGAGTTACCGGTAGGCAGGAAGTCTTTAACGTCTAAATGGATCTACAAGCGGAAGTTGAATCCTGACGGATACTTGAAAAGATACAAGGCAAGGGAGTTGATTTCAAAGAGACCTACTCGCCGGTGGTAAGATTCGCAAGCATCTGATCCTTGTCAGCTCTGGCGGCGTAGCAAGGAATGCGTATACACCAAATAAATGCAGTAACGGCGTTTCTTCAAGGAGAGCTATCCGGCGAAGAAATATACATGAAGCAAACGGAAGGATTCGTCGATAGGAAGGCACCAAAGAAAGTATGGATTAAAGCAAGCAAGACGAGCCTGGAATTTGAAGATGGGCGTGGAGCTGAAACGCATGGGTTTGAAGCGATCTAGCTACGATCCGTGCGTGTATTTCGAAATAGAAAGCGACACAATACTTGACATCACCGTCTACGTTGATGTCTTCTTGCTGTTTTCGACGGATCAAACTTAAATCGATACCGTGAAGAAGCAGTTGATGGTGTAATTTCATATGAAAAACCTGGGAGAGGCCAAGCAGGTACTCAGTATGTGATTCACCAGCTGTGACGACGCAGCTATGCTGGATCAATAGTATGTCTATGAACTACTGGAGCGGTTCAATATGATCAAGTGCGATACAGTATCGACGCCCATGGACGCACATATCGGCGTTTGACGACGATGGAATCAACCTAGCAACAAAAGCAACAAATGGAAAGGATTCCGTTTCGCGAATTGGTAGATTCTAGCGCACTGCACACGACTGGATGTGGCTTATGCCGTGAATGTGGTGAGCAATTTCAGCAGTAACCCCACCGAAACACATTGGAGAGTGGCCAAAAAGATTCTCCGATATCTGAAGGGTGCAAAATCGTAGAATCTTACTCACCGGAAGCAATCAGAACCATTGTTCGGAGGATTCAGCTACGCAGATTGGGGCAACGACCTTGAAACCCGTCGTTCTGTCACAGGGTACACGTTCCAGTACTGTGGCGGATCAGTGGCATGGAGTTGTAGGCGGCAACAAACTGTGGAATTGTCGACTACCGGAGCGGAATATATGGCCTTGTCAGGTGCAACACAGGAAGCTGTTTGGTGGCGTGGATTCCTTGGTGAGATGTTCCAGACAGATGTTAGAGTCCCAATCTTCTGTGACAACCAAAGTGCGATATGTTTGCCGGAGAAGGAGATCGGCTATTGGCCACGAAGCAAACACATCGACCTGAGGTACCACTTCGTACAAGAGCAACTTGTGAGGAAGTGTCTAAATCACGTAAATCCGAGCTTCAGAGGGCAGACGTTCTCACCAAGCCCATTCCGGGTGACCGTTTCAGTGAAGCTGTTAAGGATCTAGGAATAAATCAAATTCACATAACATAACATAGACAACATAACATAAACCAGGTTGCACAATGTCGTAGGTGGTACGAGCTCCAAACTGTTGTTAAGAAGGAGACCCACCTTCATCCGTTGCTGTTATATAGTAATCTGTGATTAATTACTACCTCTTAAATAAAGGATGTGTCTCCCTCCAACAGACCAGAGCTGTCCTGGCCACTTACTTAAGGAATGTTAGTCCAACACTTACTTAAGAGAGATGCAGAGAACTCTACGACCCCTCAGAAGTGTCACGGGAAGGGAGGATTTGTGTTAGTAGGGAGGGTAAGCCATAGGCGTTGCTGGCAATCGTTATATCAAGCATTTAATAAATAGAAGCTGTAAGTAGTTTATCTGTCCGTTGTTGCTACCCATTACCTAAACATATTATTCAAAACAGTCTTCAGATTTTGGAATTAAGAAACGTTATCAGCTCGATCCTGTTGCTCCTTTGCGCCTGAAAATGTTTGTTGATCCTAAACATATGCACAATTCATTCTGATCGATAGGAGGTTCTCATGTGTAAGAGGTTATTAATAGTATGTGGAATAGTAAATAAATGAAGATTCGCCCTTGGCTTAACTCCCACTTTCTGGCAGTGGCATTATGGATAAAATCTGCCGGCAATAATTTCTTATGAATGCAAGAAGCTTGAACCCGGGAGTTAGAAGGTGACAGCTCTACCGCAGCTACAATAGCCCATTTCAAGAACGCAAGCATTCCGAAGCCACTTTCACACATGATAAGCGCCGCTCCAATACATTATCGATGCAAATATACACCATTGATAATGTACTGAAACTTTCAATCAAGCAGTAGTGCAATACTTGATTGACGCGTATTTAGTAAGTTTTGAAACGTCACCACATGCAATGGATAAAAATTTGAAAATTTTCACTTAATGCACTTTTCAACATCACTTTTTTACTTTCAAATTAACACTTTTTAAAAATGAAATTGTAAATTTATAACATTTTCAATAGACAAAAACGGCGCAGCAAAACAAAACACGTCATTTTCGCAGCGCGGCCTACTTCGATCCAGCTTTTGAAATCAAGTATCGCTCCAAACGCATAATTGACTTCTAAACGCTGAAATCATGGATTTACATGACGTGTTCTGCTCGATAGCCCGAAGTAGTTCTCAACCCTATTTATTCATACCTTGTCTCCCAGATATGGATACTCCTGGAGAACTGATGTTGTGTGTCAAACATGCTCCAGATACCTCTGGTAATAGATACCAGAATATGAAACAATTATTGTCACCAGTAGGTGGATTAATAATGGTTAGTCTTCTAGAACCTCGGGAAAAAAGGGCTCTTGTTTATGCTAAGCTTGAATTCAAATACGGTACTAATCATTTCACTATTCTTCCTCTTCTTTTACAGAAATCGCTTCCAACAACTCAAGAACCAGATAATATCCCTCATCGGAAAATGTGTACCTAACCTACAAATGAAAAATCACAGTGAACAAATGCAGAACGCAACATATCGCCGTAGGGAAATACAAGCAATAGAATACTAAAAAATAGTGCAATCAAGTGCTAAACACCGTAGAGGATAAGTTCAGTACACCTAGCCACAAAATGACGCACGGTCCACCGGCATCGCGCAAACGGCCGGAAAACGGCACGGCGCCGGCCAGCAACACTGCTGCTGACCTGGAAAGCAACCACATGGCCACAGACAACGGCCTACCGACTCCACCGGACGGTGGCTGGGGCTGGATGGTAGTTCTGGCCTCCTTCTGCATACACATCGTCAGTGAGTACAAGCGCAAATTTCCCCTCCCACTAATCATCGCCGCCAAACGCAAACAATAATGCTATCAGTTTTCAATTACAACCGGTCGAAAAACCCGTCAATAGCCAATCAATCATCCCAGAGTTGACCACTATTAGATATAAGGCTTAGAACGCACAGGAAAAAGTGAGCTCAAGCCGATCGCTCATTTCGATCAATATCCGTCGCTGGCTACACGGCGAATGAGAACGACACAAATTTGAGCTTAGTTAACTCATAAATCACATAAAGTGCAGGAACTCCGGTTTGTCCAGGAAAAACTTCCCTAATATGAGAAAAGTGAAGATTGGATTCACTCAGTCAATTTTCCTCAGTTTTTTAAGGCTTTCCACAAGAAACCATGAGGCAAATTTACTCATCGTTGAGCTCCTGCACTTTTGGCGATTATGAGTGAGCTTAACTCAAATTTGAGTTCTTCTCATTCGCCGTATACTCAACGAAACTCTTCCATAATCGGTCACCGTCATTCATTGCCTGCAATTTCAGTCTGATTATCAAAGTTCCATTGATCAATACTCATAATCGCCATGGAAACTGCAACCGTCTAATTGAAGGTCACCACCGCCGTCATTGAGTTAGCTTTATCGATGTATGACGCTTTTCTGCGAGGGCAATCAAATTGTTGTCCCTCAAAATATTGATAACTAATCAAACCGAAATGAAATCGACGCAATTCATCCCACAATCGGCCTACAACTGGAAAAGCCGGTGATTACTCGTTTCAACCGACCGGTTCGCGATTGATTAAATTATCATTAGAAGAGAAGGGACTTACTCAGACAATTATTGTGTTTCAACCCCAAAAGTAGGTTGGTACCTATACTTTATTACTCTGTTGACGAACGCCGGTCGGTGGTGGTGGTCGTTCGTGGGATGGTGATAACTGCGCTCGACGTCTAGGTCGCAACAAAACAACCAGCAGATAATTGTTTTATGGGCTGTTTGGTTTGTTTGCCGACGGATCATAAACACTGTTTATGCAAACAGACCGAGTTCTGTCTCTCGTCTAGTTTTGGAGAATTCGTTGAAAAGAAAAAAAAAATACGGAAATCTTCCAGACTTTTCCCTGTCCACAATAGCATGCTTATTGAGGCGTGGTCGAAATAAACAGGAGGAGACTGATCACACTTTTGAAACCAACAGGAAATGGATTATCTAAGCAAGCCTTTTCATGTTCTCATCCCATAGAAGCAGAACGTTAAAATCGAAGACATGTTGGATTCAATCAGAAAATAGGGGATTTTACTGCTGTTAGCCTTGGAAATGAAGCACTGAATTCAAGGTGTGAGGTCCAGCATTCAACGGTTAAATAACTACGTGTTGCTTCTCTCAGAGAGTCTCAGTGTTGCCAATATAATGATAAAAAGTCAATCATAAGAATAATTACATTCAAAGAGAGATTTGAAAACCTAACATCCCAATGACATCATCCGACATATTCCGAGTGCCTTCGAGGACGCGGTCAGAATTTTATAGGAGTCATGACTCAGCGATGTGTTTTTTTGTTTTTGAAGTTTTTATGTGTTTGTTCAAATAAATATAGGTCAAATCTATAGATACTATAGATTCCATAGATAAGCGGAGGCACAAAAAGTTGTTTTGGTGACCATGAAAAATAAATGATCTTGCTGGCATCCGTGAAAAAAGTTCATGCCATCATAGAGCTATTCGTTGTGCAGTTTGTTTTGTTTCGTGTGTAAAAGTTCAAAATGAAGTGGCAAATCTTTGCAACAATGTATCGAGAAATGGTTTGCTTTATCTCTCCTTCTTCCGTTGTCCACGAAATAAATCGGAATGTGGAGTGTGGAAAGCGTTTTGTGCTCATAATATTACAATACTTCTCCCTCCAACAACACCATGATGACGTCATGCTCGTTTGGCTACACTAACTGACAGTTCATTTGGCTATAGCCATTATACTGTATACATTATACTTTTCCTCCGCTTATCTATGGAATCTATAGTCAAATCAAATAGGTAAAAAGGCTGACTAAAAGTAACTTGGAACGCCCCTCACGCGCTGCTAGCACGCCTCTAGTGTTGGGAATCGAACATATTTAACAGTGGTTTGTTTACACTTCTATAGAGAACAACTGGTGCAAGTTTGATCAAAGTAGTCGATCGCGTTCAGAAATAACGTCAAATGGAACTCGAAAGAAGAAAAATATTGTGCACACCTGGAAAATCCGGAGTGGTCCGGTTCCAAGCTGGCTACAGTGCTGACGATGCCGATAACAACAGTTTGTCGAATGCTCAAAAACTACAACGAAACCCTGAGTGTGGAAAGGAATCAGCGGACCTACAAAAAAAAATGGAACCAGGGATCGTCTGCTGTTTAGCAAGGTGTTGAGGTGCGTTAAACCCAACTCCGGTCTTTCGATCCGAGATGTGGCCAGAAGGTACAACACCAACTTTCAAACGGTACTGAACATCCTTGCAAGGGAAGGATACAAGTCGTACAAAGCCAGTAAACATCCGAACCGGCACATGAAGCAGAATTCCGTGACCAAAAAGCGTGCAAGGCTCATGTACGACCGTGTTTTGACGAAACACAAGGGCTGCACTTTGATCGATGACGAAACATACGTCAATCTCGATTTTAAGCAGCTTCCCGGTCAAAAGTTTTACACTGGACGTGGGGATGTGCCGGGAAGATTCAGTTGTGGCCTGAAAACGGAACCATTCGTCACATCCTCGACGATGACATCCCAAGTTTACATCGAAGAATGCCATGAAAAGCGTGTATTGCCGTTCATCCGCAAACGTTCGAGCAAAGTCATCTTTTGGCCCGATTTGGCCAGCTGCCACTACTCCAAGGTGGTTCTGGAGTGGTATGCTGCCAACAATATTTTTTTTTTTTGTTTATTAAGGACGTACCTGTGTAATTTGTTATTCTACAGTTCTTTTAATTTGTTATTCTAGTCTTCTACTTCGTGTTGCTTAATATTTCTTTCGCCTGTGCAATTTGTTATTCTAAAGTTCTTGTAATTTGTTATTCTAGAGCTTTTTGTTACAAATCCGTTTCATGTAGGAAATTAAGCATTCGTGTTGTTCTTTATTCCGTGTTGTTCTTTCTTCCGTGTTGTCCAGAGCTTCACGTAGACTGGTGCTGATGTCATTTTTCCTTCTCTCTTCGTCGTATTTCCTGCACTCAAGAATGATGTGCTTTACATCCAACACCGTGCCACAACATTCACACACCGGTGGGGCTTCCTTCTTCAGAAGAAACGTGTGGGTTAGTCGCGTATGGCCGATTCTCAGACGTGTAAGCATACGCTGGTCGGCTGAACTTCCTCGTTCTGTCCATCTGTGCGTGTCGAATTTCACCTCTCTCAGCTTCGATTCTGTTGTGCTAAACCACTGCCTATTCCACTGACCACGTATCGCATGTTTCACCGCTTTGATCGCATCCTCGCTTGGAATCGGTACGTCGATGGCTGGTTGTCTTCTAGCCTCATTGGCTAGTCTGTCAGCTTCAGAGTTTCCCCTGATGCCGGCGTGTCCAGGGATCCAGCAGAAACGGATGATTTTGCTTTGCACGATTCTCTCTACTTCCTGCACCCAAGGGTGCCAGGAAGTTCCAGCCTCCAAACCCTAATAAAAATAACCATAAAAGAGAGCTTAACGACGTGTTCGGGGTATCATCCAAACCATTTGTGGGATAGTTTACCCATCTGGGATACAGTTCGTTTATGGTATTTGTTTATTAGGGAAGCCAGTAGGAAGCTTGCGGAGTCCGTGAGAATAACCAACTCATTTTGAAAATTAGGGATGGTGGCGGCCATTTTAATAGCGTAGGCCTCCGCAGAGAAAACACTACATTCGTTCGGAAGACTGTAGGTCCTAGATAACCCTTCGTAGAAGAATGCAGCTCCTACCGTGTCTTCACACTTGGAGCCGTCCGTGTAGACGATGGTTGAACTATGGAAGCGGGTCTCCAGTAATTGTCGAACAACTGGACGAACTTTCTCCGGTGGGTCTCCAGCGCGTATGCTTCTTTTCACATCCCACACTATCGTCGGTTTTCGTGCGTGCCACAAGCGATTGCTCTGCCTCACGAGTGAACCGACAGCAGGAAGTGTTGAACCGGTTAATTCTTGGAGGCGATTTGAAGCGCGTGTAATCAGAGGTAGGGTGCTGCTGTTTGGATTCTTTGTGAGCATTCGGATGGCAATGCGTACTGTGGTCTGTGCTGCTAGCAGTTCGAAGGGTAGAGTCCCAGCTTCGGCCATCACCGAGTTAATCGGGCTCGTCACGAATGCTCCGGAAGCGAAGCGAACCATTTTGTTGTAGGCAGGAGCGAGAGTCTGCAAGGTTGCTGGCCCTCCTCGACTAACAAGTCCAATCCCGTAGAGCAGCTTCACAGTAACTATGACTGACCCAACTTGCAGCAGAGAAGTCCGATTGCCACGTGGAAGTTTTGCACCGATGATCTGTAAAATCCGTAACCGAGATTCGCATGCTTTCTTAACCATATTGCAGTGAGGTTTGAAGGATAACGTTCGGTCCATGGTTACACCTAAAATCCTCAGCCGGTTGGTCTTTGGCACGGGAGTTCCCTCGATAGAAATATCCCGCACGGGATCCCGTCGTGCGTTCGGACTGCAGTAGAAGACATGTGACTTTGTTGCCGACACAGTGTAACCAACGCTTTTCGTCCATTTGTTGATGGCTTTGACGGCGGCCTGTAGTTTTCGGTGTAAGCCATCAGTTTTAGCACCTCGCATCGTCCGCGATATCGTCCGCGTACAAAAGAATGAAGACTCCGTTGGGCACTACTCGGAAGATGGGCTGCATCGCGATGAGGAACAGCGTTACTGACAGGACAGAGCCCTGCGGAACTCCGTTTTCCAACGGATACTGGCGAGACATATGCCCCCCAACGGATACCTGGATCGTTCGCTCCGAGAGGAAGCTTTTCATCATGTTCAGCATCCGACCACGTATTCTCCATGACCTCA